AATTATATTATCGTGTCAACTATTTCTGTTACTGCACACGTGTGTGTAGGGAATTGTGGAAGTGACGTCACGCTCGACATGTTCCCCACCGGCGAGGGAAAATTTCCCTGCGTCAGTTGTCCCTACACTCTTGTCGTGGTTACGCGTGTTCGCTGGCTAACGACACCATTTTAGCATTTTTAATGTCGCTTTCTCTCGTAGATGGAATGTATTATGATGAATTAAAGTAATTCGTTTTGTTAATATCGATGAGTGCCTGCGTATTTCTTAATAAAGTTGTTCTTAAACGAAGCAAATAGCCGGAAATAAAAAATCGTTCGTAACTTTTAAACGGTTGATCGTAAGTAAATTTTTTTAATACCAATCGATTCAGCGTGTCAAATTACATCTAGATATATCTATGTCTATTCGTTAATATTAAGTTTAAGACCTTTTTTAGCTGGATACCTTTTGCTTCAGTCTAACCTTAGGGGTACTCTAGCCATTCTGTTGAGGGACCATGTGCTTAATGAATCACTGCACAGGTTGGTCCCTAGAGTGGACCACTACTGTAAAAATGGTTACCTGTCGAGTATAAGACGCACCATGATTTTGAGCCCCAAAAAGTAGTAAAAAAAGTGCGACTTATACTCGTCAAAATACGGTAGTTTGAGACAAAAAAATTTTGGAATATTATTATGCATTTTATAATGAACTAGCAGATAAACCCGGCGTTGCTCGGGCAAAAACTAATGATAGATTAAGATTATTACATTATAGCCAATCTTACCCATTTTCTCAGAATGCAAGAATTAGGTTGTCCTGTTTCCAGACTAATTAGAAAATTTTTAGATGGGTCTAAAAATATGTTCAATTTCTCACAAAAACGCAAAAAACCGCATCTGCGCCTGTAAATCTTGCATATCGCTTTCTCTTAACTCTTCAATTGTTACTTAACCACTTTCCATTGTTAACACTTCCCCCGCGGGGGAATTTTGAAAAATCCCTTCTTAGTGTACGTTCTCATGATGCATCCTAACTGTGTACCAAATTTCAACCTTCAACTTTTAACCGTTTGGGCTCTGCGCTTCTTATTATTATTTGGAGTGGCTATTTCAAAGGGCAATTTTGGCAACTAAAAATAATATTGTCGACGATATCAACTTTAATATTCAAAAGAAAATTCAGAACTGGCAAGAGCTCCTCCTCTTTTAAGTTTGGGCATTGTATAAAATATAAATCAAATGAACTTTTTATTAACAAATACACCAAGTACACTTTACACAGTTTTCACACTTTATTTTTGATTTATATTTAGTCACTTTGACTACTCACACTTCACTGTTTGTTTTTATTCACTCACTGCACTACTTTGGAATTTTCACTTCTTTTTCAGTTCTTCCCATTGTCACTGATAAAAAACTGATGTTCGAACCCACAATGGATCTTGCTTTATATACCTCCACCCATACAAAAAAGGCTTTGAATGGTCCACAATGTTCCAAAACATTCCACAACATTCGAGAGTTTTCTGGAATGTTCACAATGATCTGGGATGTTTCGGGATGTTCCCAAATGTTCCAGAACATTTCGGAACATTCTGGAATGGTGTGGAATGCTCTCGAATACTCTTGAATGTTCTGGACTGTTCTAGAAATTTCTAGAGGGCAAAACTTCCAGCCCTTATATCTTCAACAGCACGCTCTTCAGGTAAAAATGGGAAACCTTCTTCTTGAATGGAGGGCTACATCATCATATGTAGCCCTCCATCTTCTTCATGCCATACTGTTTACGTACAATAAATATCTTTTTTTTTTATTTACTTTCCTTCTTGGTGTTGCAATTTTAACGGCCAGCAGCGTAGTTTCAAAAATTAATCATTACCTTAAACAGTGATATGATTTCAAACTTGAATGTTTGTTATATTCATAATTACCTATTCATTTTGCAGTTACATCAATATGGCTCAAAAAAAAAAATCAATATCAATATATATTATAAAGGTAAGTGTGCAATGTGTGTGCCGCTAAAACTGAAAAATGAGTCCTGCTACGATCAAGGTAGTTATATGATGATGTAGCCCTCCATTCAAGAAGAAGGTTTCCCATTTTTACCTGAAGAGCGTGCTGTTGAAGATATAAGGGCTGGAAGTTTTGCCCTCTAGAAATTTCTAGAACAGTCCAGAACATTCAAGAGTATTCGAGAGCATTCCACACCATTCCAGAATGTTCCGAAATGTTCTGGAACATTTGGGAACATCCCGAAACATCCCAGATCATTGTGAACATTCCAGAAAACTCTCGAATGTTGTGGAACATTGTGGACCATTCAAAGCCTTTTTTGTATGGGTGGAGGTATATAAAGCAAGATCCATTGTGGGTTCGAACATCAGTTTTTTATCAGTGACAATGGGAAGAACTGAAAAAGAAGTGAAAATTCCAAAGTAGTGCAGTGAGTGAATAAAAACAAACAGTGAAGTGTGAGTAGTCAAAGTGACTAAATATAAATCAAAAATAAAGTGTGAAAACTGTGTAAAGTGTACTTGGTGTATTTGTTAATAAAAAGTTCATTTGATTTATATTTTATACAATGCCCAAACTTAAAAGAGGAGGAGCTCTTGCCAGTTCTGAATTTTCTTTTGAATATTAAAGTTGATATCGTCGACAATATTATTTTTAGTTGCCAAAATTGCCCTTTGAAATAGCCACTCCAAATAATAATAAGAAGCGCAGAGCCCAAACGGTTAAAAGTTGAAGGTTGAAATTTGGTACACAGTTAGGATGCATCATGAGAACGTACACTAAGAAGGGATTTTTCAAAATTCCCCCGCGGGGGAAGTGTTAACAATGGAAAGTGGTTAAGTAACAATTGAAGAGTTAAGAGNGAAAAGACGACATTGTGCCACTTTTGTATGCAGTTTTGTCGTTGGGCATACCAGAGTTGCCGTCTCTTTCTATGCTGCATTGTCAAGGGAAGCTGAAGTAATGGTCGCTGTGCTGACAGTCAATGTTGCTGCAAACATCATTGCATCGTATGAGCAGATACTGGACATGCTGCAAACAAGCTCATTTCCTAATTGTCCGTGATGTGGTTGTATGGTTTTGCACGGCCAACCTCACGATATGTCTGTCCTCTCGGGCATTAGTCATGGGAGGGTGTTGAGATCCTGCGTGTCGTTCAGTAAGACCCTCAGCAACCCATCGATTCCATATTCGCATGACAGTAGTTGGATTCTGACAAGTGCAAGTGGCAATATCACAGAACAATAATTCACACACTCGATAGACAACGAACCTGCCTCTACTGAATTCTGACACTTGCTGATAAACATTTCTTGTTCTTATTCAAAGCATAACATGATATTCTGATGAAACCCCAACCTTACAAAGCAATTTCTGAATGAGAAATCCACCTCACAACTTTTCTTTTATGCAGTGCTTCAGATGTCGTTTGTCCCTCCTGCATCATCTAAATGTGCTGAAATACTAATCATTTGCATATCCCAACCTCTTCTTTCTTTCATATGATTTTGACATTCGTATGATCATCCCTTCCTGGTGTTGCAATTTTAATGACCAGTAGTGTAAATTACAGTGTAAATAGCATGTAATATAATAACAAATATAGTAATAAATTCATACCAAGTGTACTTAGCAAAAAGAGACTACAATCTTATTAAATTGCCTGAGGTTTGTCGAAAGAAAATTATTTAACAAACATTTTCAACCTATTACCATAGGCCATTTTCAGGTATTGAACTGAATTTAAAAAATCATTTCAAAAGTTAAATAAAGAATTTTCTCTCAGTGAACCACAAGTGATGTAATAAGATTATAGTAATAAAGTTGAACGGAAATGCAATATATGAATTTTAATTTTAATAATAAAAAATTTTGATTTATACAATTAAATCAAATTTTTGAATTTAAATTAAATTGGATTTGAATTTAAATTAAATTTGAAATTGAATAAAATGTTAAAACTTGTATATGTCTAATTCAATTTATGATAAGTTTTTGTCCTTATTTTACAATAATTAGATATGTGAGCACTAAGTTTCAGCTCTCAAGAGGACTTATCATTTACTATTGACACTGTAGGAGAAATCACACAAAGATGGATGAACACTGGTCATTTATTGTAACAACATTATGCATTTCAGACAGTGGATTTGTTCCTCTTCAGCTGTGCTTGTTACAAATTTTGTCACAGGTGTCTAAAATATATGAGGTTTACTTTACAAACTAAATATTACAAAACCTTCCATTCTTTTTCTATCAACTTCTTTAATTGATTAAATAAGAGAACAAATGCTTTTGGCAATTTTTGAATGGCCTTCAGGTTCTACAACATTGGAACATCAGTTAACATATATTCGAAATTCGTTTTCGTTCTTATGACGAACCCACAATGGATCTTGCTTTATATACCTCCACCCATACAAAAAAGGCTTTGAATGGTCCACAATGTTCCAAAACATTCCACAACATTCGAGAGTTTTCTGGAATGTTCACAATGATCTGGGATGTTTCGGGATGTTCCCAAATGTTCCAGAACATTTCGGAACATTCTGGAATGGTGTGGAATGCTCTCGAATACTCTTGAATGTTCTGGACTGTTCTAGAAATTTCTAGAGGGCAAAACTTCCAGCCCTTATATCTTCAACAGCACGCTCTTCAGGTAAAAATGGGAAACCTTCTTCTTGAATGGAGGGCTACATCATCATATAACTACCTTGATCGTAGCAGGACTCATTTTTCAGTTTTAGCGGCACACACATTGCACACTTACCTTTATAATATATATTGATATTGATTTTTTTTTTTGAGCCATATTGATGTAACTGCAAAATGAATAGGTAATTATGAATATAACAAACATTCAAGTTTGAAATCATATCACTGTTTAAGGTAATGATTAATTTTTGAAACTACGCTGCTGGCCGTTAAAATTGCAACACCAAGAAGGAAAGTAAATAAAAAAAAAAGATATTTATTGTACGTAAACAGTATGGCATGAAGATGAAATGATTAAATTTGCAAGCAGTTTGGGGGTTTACAGGGGTGCGAAATTAGTAGACACAGTTGTCACCCCTGGCAGCTAAAACGGCCCTTATCTGTTTAGGCATGGAGTTGAACTGGGCTTGGATGACAGAAACGGGCAACTCATTCCATGCTGCTTCAAGTCTATGTACACATTAACTGTATTAGCTGGAGAGGGGTGGCGGGCCAGTCTCTCAGCAACCCACTGACCGGATGTTTTCAATTGGTGAGAGATCTGGAGACCATGCAGGCCAGGGCAAAATCGAATACCCTCAAGGAAGGTCAGAACATGATGTGCAACATGAGGTCTTGCATTATCTTGTTGGAAGATGGCATTTCACAAGCCTCGAAGATAGGGCACAACCACTGGATGTAAGATGTCAGAAATGTACCGATCTGCATTCAAGTTACCGTTGATCCAAACTAGAGATGTGCGTGTCGTGTACCCAATGGCTGACCATATCATCACACCAGGTGCAGGGCCCCTATGTCGATACTGAATGCAAGCAGGTGACGAGTGGTCTCCTCAGAGCCTCCAGACACGTATACAGCCATCAGAATGCTGCACGCAGAACCGGGACTCGTCTGAAAAGACGACATTGTGCCACTTTTGTATGCAGTTTTGTCGTTGGGCATACCAGAGTTGCCGTCTCTTTCTATGCTGCATTGTCAAGGGAAGCTGAAGTAATGGTCGCTGTGCTGACAGTCAATGTTGCTGCAAACATCATTGCATCGTATGAGCAGATATTGGACATGCTGCAAACAAGCTCATTTCCTAATTGTCCGTGATGTGGTTGTATGGTTTTGCACGGCCAACCTCACGATATGTCTGTCCTCTCGGGCATTAGTCATGGGAGGGTGTTGAGATCCTGCGTGTCGTTCAGTAAGACCCTCAGCAACCCATCGATTCCATATTCGCATGACAGTAGTTGGATTCTGACAAGTGCAAGTGGCAATATCACAGAACAATAATTCACACACTCGATAGACAACGAACCTGCCTCTACTGAATTCTGACACTTGCTGATAAACATTTCTTGTTCTTATTCAAAGCATAACATGATATTCTGATGAAACCCCAACCTTACAAAGCAATTTCTGAATGAGAAATCCACCTCACAACTTTTCTTTTATGCAGTGCTTCAGATGTCGTTTGTCCCTCCTGCATCATCTAAATGTGCTGAAATACTAATCATTTGCATATCCCAACCTCTTCTTTCTTTCATATGATTTTGACATTCGTATGATCATCCCTTCCTGGTGTTGCAATTTTAATGACCAGTAGTGTAAATTACAGTGTAAATAGCATGTAATATAATAACAAATATAGTAATAAATTCATACCAAGTGTACTTAGCAAAAAGAGACTACAATCTTATTAAATTGCCTGAGGTTTGTCGAAAGAAAATTATTTAACAAACATTTTCAACCTATTACCATAGGCCATTTTCAGGTATTGAACTGAATTTAAAAAATCATTTCAAAAGTTAAATAAAGAATTTTCTCTCAGTGAACCACAAGTGATGTAATAAGATTATAGTAATAAAGTTGAACGGAAATGCAATATATGAATTTTAATTTTAATAATAAAAAATTTTGATTTATACAATTAAATCAAATTTTTGAATTTAAATTAAATTGGATTTGAATTTAAATTAAATTTGAAATTGAATAAAATGTTAAAACTTGTATATGTCTAATTCAATTTATGATAAGTTTTTGTCCTTATTTTACAATAATTAGATATGTGAGCACTAAGTTTCAGCTCTCAAGAGGACTTATCATTTACTATTGACACTGTAGGAGAAATCACACAAAGATGGATGAACACTGGTCATTTATTGTAACAACATTATGCATTTCAGACAGTGGATTTGTTCCTCTTCAGCTGTGCTTGTTACAAATTTTGTCACAGGTGTCTAAAATATATGAGGTTTACTTTACAAACTAAATATTACAAAACCTTCCATTCTTTTTCTATCAACTTCTTTAATTGATTAAATAAGAGAACAAATGCTTTTGGCAATTTTTGAATGGCCTTCAGGTTCTACAACATTGGAACATCAGTTAACATATATTCGAAATTCGTTTTCGTTCTTATGACGTCATTGTTTTTACAAAAAATTTCTTTTAAATTACAATCATTAAATAAATACGTAAATAGATTTAAAAAATTTTAAAGCACAATTAATTAATAAATATGTAAATGGATGACAAATTACAGTTATACATTAAATTTATCAACTCTGAATATCAAATAAATGACAAATGGAATTACAAGTATATGTTATAATTATTGCAGATAGATTTAAATAACTAGATATTTTTTAAAGAAATGTTTATAAAGTCATAAAATTGCAACATCACATATTGTTTGAGATGGATGAATTAGTCCACTTCCTTTAAGGAGTTATCAAGGAGTGATTGACAAGCTGTAGATAGCGAGTTGGCATCTTTACTGCTAATGCAATTTTCTTTGAGGGATTTCACAAAGATTTCTTGTGTTTCTATTGTTCTTAGTTTGCTATTATTGAGTATTGGTGTTATAATCTTAGCTTCTTCCCATTTGGCTGTTATACCCTGCTATCTTGCATATTGGGCTAGGGTGGTATTAAACTTCTTATTCTGCGTATTGTACTTGTACTCTGCTATCCTTTTTGTTAATGATCTGTTGGTTGAGCTTATGTATGTAAACTTTGTTGATATTAAATCTGTTGTTGTCTAGTGGTACCGAGTATACTTCAGGTATTCTGGTTTTGTTGCATTTATCTTTGGTATTAGTAAGAAGTTTATATATCGAAGGGTTACATTTGTATGCTAGATCTACTCGGTACCGCTAGACGACAACAGATTTAATATCAACAGGAAGTTAACATACATAAGCTCAACTGACAGTTCATTAACAAAAAGGATAGTAGTGGAGCATAAGTACGATATAAAAGAAATTTTTTGTAAAAACAATGACGCCATAAGAATGAAAACAAATTTTGAATATATGTTAACTGATGTTCCAATGTTGTAGAACCTGAAGATGGCCATTCAAAAATGGCTGAAAGCATTTGTTCTCTTATTTAATCAATTAAAGAAGTTGCTAGAAAAATTATGAAAGGTTTTGTAATATTTATTTACAGAAGTTCTAGCTTTCTATGCATAGAATTACATTACAAACATTATGATTAATAATTAAATTAATTTAAAAATATATAATACATACTTAATGAACACATGCTATTCATTTACAAATGTGGTTGACTTCCTTTTATCTGTATACTGTATAAACATTTTTGGAGATTACAATTGTTGTTTAATGAATTAAAGGTAAGGTAAATAATCTATGAAAACAATAAGTTTCAAGTTATAAATGAAAGTACACTTATAAAAGGAGACGGTTTTTTAAAAAAATACAAACTGTTGAGTCACACATTTGATGTTTGCTACCATTAACTTGTCACTTAAGTTAACAGTCTCCTGAGAGCTGAAACTTAGCACTCACATATCTAATTATCTAATTAAATTCTTAAATTGAAATAGAATTCCAAATTAAAAGTAAATTTACTGATGTTATTTAATTAACTTTTTTCTATTTTCTATAGATAATAAATATATAAACATGAAAATAGTAACATATGCTCCAGAAGCATGGAAATATTTAAATGGAATATTTTGTATATATAAACCTGCTGGACTTAAATTAGAAATGACCAAGAAAATTTTATTGACAAATCTTGTCCAAGGTACTATGCAATTTATGTAGATATTTGAAAATTTATATATATTATTGATCAGTGACACACTCTTCAAAAGTGAAATTGCAACACCACAAAGGAATGCACTTAGCTATGTGCAAATTGCAGAACCAGTAGAAGTAACAGAGATGTGCAAATGATTAAGTTTGTATACACATTGGGTCATGTGGTACTCAGTTTTGGGCTCTAAAGACCAGCAGCCAGTTTGAGCCATAAATGCTATCAGTGATAGTTTGTAGCAGCCAAACTTTCGAAAAAGCATAGAAAATGCCTCGGAGATGACAAGATGAATACCACCAGTTAACTGCTGGTGAACAAGGCCATATCCTTCAGTTGAGTGACCTCACTTTGTCAATGCACACAGTTTCCAAGTGTATTGGACACGAGGTGAATACCATCCAGTGATGTGTGATACAATTGACAAGGAACATCTGCAAACAGGCTAAAGAGGGAGTGGATTACACTGATGCATGACAGAGCACACAGACTGGCAGATTCTCTGAAAGCCTGTTGGGCCATTCATCATGGCATGTGACATCTAAAGCTGCCTGTCACTGTCAACAGGTGCATCTGTATCCATCCAAACCATTCACAACAGGTTGCATGAAGTTGGGCTGCATGCATGACAATCAGAAACGGGGGGTGCCATTAACCACTCAACACAGGGCTGCATGCCTGGCATGATGTCATTGTTACTGCAACTGGAGCATTGAATGGCATCAGGTATTGTTTATGGATGAATCCTGCTTCTGTGTGCCAGCCTTTTTGTTTAGTATCACACCAGCCCTATATTGAGCATCATGGTTTTGGAAGACATCATGTCTAATCAGCAGACAGCCCTGGTGCACATTTCCTAAACTCTGACAGTGGACAAGTACATCATATAAACTTCAGGGCCTATGGTTTGGCCATTGGTGCAGACTGCACCCAAAATGGTGTTCTAGCAAAAAAAAAAAAATGCCCAACCACATGTCACATGGCAAACTTCACCAGCCTGAATGGAATTCACATCTTTGGCTGGCAGCCTTGCCAGATCGCTCTCCCATCAAACACCTCTGGGACTTGTTTGACACAAGGTGCACCAGGGACCACTGCCACATACAATAATCGACATGTGCACCTCAGTGGACACAGCTTGGCAAGGGATACCACAGACAACCATTAATCCATTAATAGCCTTATTGATAGTCTGTCTCACCTTATAGTGGCCATATAGCTGCCTATGGGGACTGTATTCATTACTGAATAAACAGGTGTCTGTTACATATCTTTATTTGTTCTTTTAATCATTTTCATATCTCTGTTACCTCTACTGGTCCTGTAATTTGCATAGTTATGTGCATTCCTACATGGTATTGCAATTTCACTTTTGAGGCGTGTATATGTAAAGTAAGTACAGTCGACCCCCCTATAAGATAGAGATACGTTCCATTCTCTAGGAATCCGCTTTCTTACGAATCCTTCCAATCACAACCCGACACGTGTCAAGTTTACGGACTACGGCTGTTTGAAAGATTTTCTTCCATAAAATTAATCGATTCTAGACTAATCCGACTCAACATTTCCAAAATGCGTATATATTTTTTGGGAATAATCCGTATAAACTACGCTATAAACAAAAAATTGTAGGATTACTTACCGAGTGTCACCATTCGACATTGCCATTGCTCAACATTGTTTTCGTCGCGGAACAGCTCAGCAAAGAGCGGCCGATTTCTAACAACTTATTTTTCTGTGAAAACTTCGTAGAACTTCGGAGACATCATTAATATAAATAATTTTAATCGCCGTTGAATAAGAAATGTTTCTTTCACAAGAAATGTATAAAATTACAGTACTGTATTAGACTTACGGTACCTAATTTACATACTGACAGACGATAGTTAGCGTAAAAATCTCCGTAGCGTGGCGCCACGCTAGACGGCGGAAATTATATATTTAATTATAACAAAGTTACAATAAGTTAATATATAATTATATATACAGTACCTAATTTATATATAATTAATATATAATTATATGTACAGTACCTAATTTATATATAATTTATATAATACTGTCCAGACGATAGAAATCTCTCCGTAGCGTGGCGCTACGGACGGCGGGAAAGTAGTTCGGCTTCCCGATGACGTTTGAGGTGTTTATAGGGAACTTTTACTATTTTTTACGGATACCGGTAGCAATTTTTTCGTAGTTTTATAGGAATCGTAACTATAGGGACCGTAATTATAGGGGGGTCGACTGTAATCACATCCTACATAAATAATAATAATAACATAAAAAATTTATAAAATTGAGAGCATTAAGAAAATTAATAACATAAATAAAACATTTGTAGTTTATTGATTATTAAAATTAAATCTGACAAGTACAGTTAGTGATAATTGATACGAATTACTTATGAGTTATTTATCTGTAAACAAATAATTTTGACTGGAACTTTATTAGTTAAATCTTTCAGTTATTGGAAGAGAATTTTACTGTTCTTTAGATAAGCATATTATCTTTGTTGTAATAATTTAAAATATATCAAAATTATTTGCATAGTGCTTCAAAATTTGGCATTTACAATTAATTATACTTAATATATCCTTAACAACAAATGTATCATTAATTAACATACATGTAAATTAACTTTATTTATAATATTTATTTGAATTTTTAACATATTGTTTTTATATTTGAATTAAACTGAAAATAAATATTTGTGAAATGTATTGTGAAATTGTGAAATGTACTATTGTGAAATGTAAAAACTTAGAAACCTTACTAAGATTAAAATTAATTGTTGATAGACATCTTTATTTATAAACTGTGGAGCATTTAACAGACTGAGTTACATACATAATATGCATGTATAATTTTTATAATTCATATAATACAATATATAAATTCAAAAAAGTAAATAAGCATAATGATCAATCAATACTTGTCAAAAATTAGGGCATTTCCAAACTATTTTATTTTCTTATCAGTTTGACTTCAAAGATAAAAAGTAATTAATTAATTTATTTGAAAATATAAGCATATATGATTAAATATATTTACATTATATTTGCTGTTTCATAACAGTTTCTTGATTTTTTGCAAGAACCGTATGAAATACAGTAAGATCCTGCTTAACGTGGGGGGATGTGTTCCTAGACAACAAAGCACTAAGTGAAACAGCATTAAACGAGGTCATTTTAACATAGAGTAAATAGGAATAGGGGAACACACAACCAAAAATAAACAAATTTTACTTTAATTTTAAGTTATTTTTATATTAATTTGTATAATAATATAATGTTAAATAACATATACATATTCACACAGAAATGTAAAGTTCATTTTTTGTGATGAAGGTCTTTTCTGACTTTTCTGAAATTCTTGTTCTTTTGCAATAAAGTCGTGAAGTTTCATTTGCCACTTTTTTCTTTCCTTAAGCAAATGTCAGTATCAGAAGATCGCATCCAAAACACCTCATTTTGCTTTTGCACTCCTTTCAAAATCTGGATCATTCTCTGCAATTTGATCAACAATTTTGGTTATCTTACCAAACTTTTACTAAGGAAATCTGTAGAGAAATTTTTTGGGTTCTTCATTTTCAGAAACTCTATTTTCCAGTTCCACATGAATTCCATGCTCTGCCAGTTCTTGAAGGTCGTTGTTGGTAAGGCTCTCACCAGAAACCTGCGGTAACTCCTCAATATCCTACTCATGTATGTCGCCTAGTCTTGCTATATCGATTAGGTTGAGTTTATACAAAGATAGGCTCTTCTCATTGAGAATTGTTGGATACCTTCATTCATAACTTCTTTCACACTTCGTTCGTGCATTTATCAGTTAATTCTTGCCAAGTGAAGTCAATATTTCCTATGGCATCCATGATGTTATATTTTTTCCAAAATTGCACCAAACAAACATAGATTTAAGAAAGTACACCTTTTTGACATCTTTTGCTGATTGCTTTGTGTTCGCAAATAATCATATTATATACGAATCAATGAAATGTTGCAATAATTTAAATCAGCGTAAATTTTGGGCTCTTTTTAGGCTCCAAGCAGACTGCATTATATCGAATCAGTGTTAAGTGGGGTCTTACTGTATATTAAATTGATTTTTAAAACTTTTATATTATATTAATGACAAACACAATTTTCACTATCTGTATGTATTCAATCAAAATGATATCATTGGAAATATAGTCAACCCCCCTATAACACTGTAGATACGTTCCGAGTTTTATGAATCCAGCTTTTAAGAGTCCAGCCAATCACAGCCTGGCACGTATGCAGTTTACAGACTATGGCTGTTTGAAAGGTTTCTTCCAAAAAATTAATCGATTCTAGACTAATTTGACTCAACATTTCCAAAATACGTATAATTTTTTGGGAATAATCCATATAAACTATGCTATAAACAAAAAATTGTAGGATTACTTACCGAGTGTGCACCGTTCAACTACGCTGTTGCTTTTAAGCTTGTTTTCATCGTGCAGATTGTCATCAAATGGCGCTCGCATGCTTCCTGATAAATTATTTTTTTGCAAAAAATTTGNATATAATACTTTATATATATTACCATTATATTATGCGCTATTGATGATAACTCGTGTGTGTTAAATGTAACATCAGTATATTTCTATTAAGAATGGTTCAGGCCAATTTCGATTTGTAACAAATAACTTACTTCAATTTTAGTTTTTAATATTGTTGAAATTAAATTATTAAAAAAATGTAAGACCGATGATTGAAAATTAAACAGAATCTTTCAAAATTATTCAAGACTCTATTTTACTTTGAAAAATATTATAAGTTTTTACCAGGGCTGTGGAGTCGGAGTCGGTAGATTTTTACGCAACTTCCACAGCCCTGGCAGGTCTGTTGAGTCGGAGTCGTGGAGTTTTGTGTGAAAAATTTGCTAAACTTTGGAGACATCATTAATATAAATATAATTTTTATGGACATTAAATAATAAATGGTTTTTAGTAGGTCCGCTGCTTGTTTAAACTCAACGGTTTGTGCAATCTTGTCACGACACAAGTCGGCAATGACGTTTTACCGAATTATAGGAGTCTTTTTAGCATGTTTGTACGAATACTGTCGCAATTTTTTCACTGCGATATAGGAATCCGAACTATAGGAACCCGTGTTATAGGGGGTCGACTGTACATAATACATCTGTCATGTTAATTGTGTATCTCTTACATAAATCTAAATTTTTTGAAATCAGTTCTTAAAACTTTATATAGTAAAGAAATTTGTATTGAAATTTCTGAAAATTCATTTTTTTATTTAATGTAATATTTTTCGTGAATTGTAACTATGAATTGTAATATGTAATATGACATTTGTGTTATTGAAATACACATATATCAATGTAGGAAAATAAGACTATATATTTAACTTGTGTTAGTGGCTTCTTTATTTTATAAGAGATTAGCAGATGAGCCCGGCATTGCTTGGGAAAAAAGTATTGATAGCGAAGATTAAGATTATTAGATTATAGCTGATCTTACCCATTTTATCGAGTGCAAGAAAGTCCCTTCTCTTCTGAGACTAATTAGAAAATTTTTAGATATCTGCTTACCACACCGGGATAACAATAATTAAGACTAACTGCAACCACTAACCAGTGCATAGTACCACTAAGTGATTAATAAATGTTTTTGTAACTCTTTGTGGTTTCTTCTTCAGGTTTACTAAATTCGAAAAATAAGCTGGATCTTCCAGAATCATTCATAAATATAAATTCAAACATAAAATCGAACATTAAGACGAAAAGTTCGAATAAAGCAAACTTATGTGCATGCACTCTTCATGTCAACTTTATATATGAAATACTCGTATACACGCATGCCACCTATCATAGGCTAAATGTACTATGCCAGAAACCTTTATGGGAGTATATTAAACAACTTCCCAAAGTTTTGTGGCAATCGGATAAATGGTGTAGTAATGCATGAAGGACAGACAGACATACATTCATTTTTATATATATAGATAAATATTTTCAAAATTATGAATATTTTTAGATTTTAATGAACTGGAAGTACGTCCACCAAGAAATTATGTACGAATAGAAGGATCAGTTGCAAGTGGAAAAAGTTTATCAGTTAAAGTGGTCCCAAATTTAGCTGACCATCCTCTTGGTAAGTATTGATTAGTATGCAAAATTGTTCTGTATACATTATAAAAGATTAACTTTATCACATACATTTATTAAAAATATCTTGCTTTACTGAAAATGTATATATATACATTTTCAGTACAGAAAAAAAAAATATATACATATATATATATTTTTTTCTGTTTTTTCTTTTAAGTTATAAATTTAAGATGAACTCTATCACTAATCTACTGTATACATGATTTGTAAAACACTGTCTTTATTTATCAAAGCACTTATAAACTGAAGCATTCTATCATAGTGTGACAAATGTCTAGTCCTGAAGCGAGCATTAGTTTTAAATTATGCTATGGGAAACAGCATAGCTCAGTTTGTGGTATTTTCTGGTTACAATTACAAATTATGAATGCTTTATTTATAATTACTATTAGTTAAAAATGAAAATAAGTTAAATTTTTAGACACCTTACTTATAAATGAATGATTTTTCCATTAAAAAAATTAATACAGTTATGTTTAGAATGAAATGCTTTAACTTGTGAGATTATATGGTGGAATTATGAAAAAATTAAAATATAAGACAACTTAAAAGTTGATATTTTCTCATTCTGAGAAGTGCTTCTGGAAATCTTTTCTGGCTATGAACTTCTACAATTTCAATGTTATGTCAGAACTGTAAACAAGAAATCACAATACAGTGAAACTTTCATTAATGGACACTCCTGAATAGTGGACACCTCTACTTAACAGATATTTTTACAGATTTCAAATAATACATCCATTATATTTACGTTTATTTATTGTGGACAATAGCAGATGCTGTTGTTCACAAGCAACCTCATGAACACAATGTCCCACCTTCAATATTCTAAATCAATTAATTATATATGAAATATTTTAAAACAAAAACAAAAAATTGGTTCAAATGCTCTTTCAGAGGATGAATTTTGACAATAGATATCAAATAGACATTAAAAATAGGAATAAGGGAAGAGGAAAGGTTGTAAAAAACTGAACAATATTCTTTATCTGTTAGAGAACACTAATTCAGTTAAGTTGTCAATCACTGCTTATTGTCATACATATTATTGTTATTAAACTTTGTATTATTGTTGGAATTAAGCTTATGGTACCAAGAAACCATAAACTTTTCCTGAATGATTTTTTCATTTGGCAGGAACCGTAGTACAATAGTAAAGAAAAAGAAATTTAAAACAGTTACAACAGTGTATATGTGGTGAAATTTCACAGTTGTGTTATGATGGCAATTTGCTGACAACTTTAAAGTGTTGGAAGATATTCAATATTCTCACATTTATGATCTTAACAGCTTTGTAGTGGCTTAAGTATAATTTTTTATAAATCATTTATTGAAAAAAGCAAAAATGTTCAAAAAATTACAGATACTTGATAACTATAAAGCAGACAAATCTCTACATCAATTTTTACTAGTTGATTAGATCATAAATGATATTATAAATGAAAGAATATTGAACAGATTTCCCACCCCTTGAAATAGCTAGCAAATTGCCTTTACAACTCAACATTTGAACTCTCACTATCAAAACTAACCTTCATTTACCTTACCCTTCCTTTCATAACAACAGTTTCATTTTTCTTTTTTGTTGTTACTTCTGCCCACATCATTTTTAATGAATTAATAATTAATCAATGTATGAGTAGTTACATTTTGTAGTAATTTTCATGTTCCATTTAAACTGTTTTGCCCAATCTGTTTGCTATTTAGAATTCAGTTAAAATGAAATTTTTACAACTGAAAAGATAAATAATTTAATATATATATATACCCTGTGTTTTAATTATATATGGTACATATACTGTCTCTGATAGAACAATATATACTGATATTGGAAACATAATATTAAAAAAATTGTTCTTTTTGTGATACATAGGTAAATACAACCTGCACAATATTTTTGTTATTGCTGTTGTTGCTCTTTATATGCTTGCTTGCCTTAATATGCCTGTTTAAACTTTGTCTATGACTATATTTTAACCACACTTACTACATTCCATTTTATTTAATGTATAACAAATTCCTCAATATTGACAGTATGATAGACAATGATAAACATGCTAGTTTTACTCTTTGGATCAGGCAGAAAGTCTGATGTTGAATATGCACCATAGTGCAGAAGAAATTGACATTAATGCTTGCTCAGGGTCTAGACATTTGTTGCACAGCAACGTTATTGTCCATCATTTTGCTAATGAAATAAAAGCTAAGCTAATATCAATACTATTTTATTTGTCTAATTTTTTAAATCTACAATACAAAAATCCATTTTATATTAATTAAAGTAACCTTTGTAAATAATTTAAAATAATATTAATAACTTTGAATTAGAAGACAATAGAAAAATAAATTCTCACAGAATTATTTCTAAATAGTAATTGAATGAATGTTACAGAATTTCAGCATCTTATTGGATGATTTGACCATTACAATTTCTCAGATCTTTATCTTATAAGGAAGCATATCTTTCATTAAACAAGATATGATTTTCTACAGTAAACAAGCAGTTATTTATTCTGACATTGTCACAATGCCAGGCTACAATTTTTAATCTTATTTTTAATTAATTTAATTTAAGATATATACTCTTCATCTTAAATTAGTAGTGTATTGTCCTTGTATATAATACATTTCCAGATAACAGCAGAGGCATGCCAGTCATCTATGTAACTCCATTCAATGGAAAATTTTTTATTTTTTTGAAATAACATAATTTCTGGTCTAGACCGGAAGTTTTATATATAGTTATTCAGGGCCTCCTGTCCCTAAGCTTTTCATATCTGGTCTTGACTTTTCACCATTCTCAAAATTAAGGAAGGACAGAAAGGCAGACAGATGACAGTGGGAATTTATAGTGGGAAAGCTAATTGATTGACTCCTTAAACCCGTGTCATTGACTATTATTGACATTAAAATTGTTTTCATTTTAAATTTTCTGAGTTTAATTTAGCATAATTATGAGGATTATCCAGAAAATAATACCCATTTACTCATAGGTGATGTGACAGATATCAAGCAGGCAAGATCAACTATCTCCAGTGAAACATATGCTTTGCTTGAAATAACTTATATGTTGAGTAGTAACCAAAACCAAAAATTAAATAACAACCATAGCAACCAAAACCAAAAATTAAATAAGTGTGTCTGTGTCTGTATTCAGGAATTTAACAATATGGCATGTATTCAATATAATGGCCTTCTGTAGTGTGATGTATATATTTCTATTCAATTGTAATGTTTTCAGGCTTTTGTGTAGTGTATGTGGTATCACACCTGTACAGAAGAGAACGACAGGTACAATAAGCACCCTTTCCATCCTCCACAGATGCCTTATTTCCTGGGAAGTTTCTGATTTTTTCAATGCATGTGTTTTGTACATTGTGAGTGTTTGGAATGGATATGTATATAATGTATGTGAATTTATTGTGTTTGTCAATGAGGTGATGTCTGGTCTGTTGTGGTAAATTGTTTTATCTGTGATTATGGCTCTGTCATAGTACATTTTGTGTGTGTTGTTTTCTAATACTGTCTGTGGGATGTATTTGTACTATGGTTCATGGATGTCTAATAATTTGTGTTTGTTTGCAAGCTCTTGGTGTATTATATTTGCTACTTGATTATGTCTGTAAATAATCTGTCTGTGTCAAGAGCTTGCAACCAGAAGTGATGTGTTGTAGCCTGGATACATTACATCATGCCAGAAACTATTTCTGGCATGATGTGACATTTTCTGCATGTGTCATTTGTGAGTGTTGTATCTTTGAGTATGTGTTTTCTGTAGTTTTTAGTATTTATGACCTGATCCTGTATGGCAATCATGAATCCTTCCGTCTCCCCAAAGAGGCATCCCCGATCTAACCAGCTGTTTGACGCAGTTTTGTCAACAAAATCCTGGGCCAGGTCATAAGGATGCCTGCCATGGAGTGCCTTTTGAGCCCACGATTGCTTGATGGTGTCTATGCTTTTTGTGTGTTGTGTCATGTCTGTATGCTGTGAGTGTAAATTTAATGGTGTGTTATTTGAGTCTGCTAGAGTTACTGCTTTATGTAATTGTGATGTTTCTTGTTTCCTGTAGAAAAACTCTTGCAGTGACTGTATTTGTTTGTAGTGAAGGTTAACTATGTCAATCAGGCCATGTCTGCCATCTTTACGTGGAAGGGTTAATCTTTGTATGGCGGATTTAGGATGATGTTGTTTATATGTTTGTTTCGAGTTTTGTGATTGCGTAGTAAGTATGGATGATAAACTCGTTCATTTCTGTTGTCCATTTCATCCGTTGGAATGATTTTCCAGCCTTTGTGGTCTGTGGATGCATTGCCACAGAAACACCAAGGCTAGGTTGGTTCCTCACATCTGTTGAGGGCATTGCAGTAGCCATGCTTGGGCTGGCGCTGCTTTCGCCACCGGTAACCAAGGGAGACTGGAGCCTATTTTTCGAACATGAGCCTCTGCCTAACCCACAAACGCGGACCTTGTTAACCCGGGCAACGTCTGATCCGGTATCACACTTTGATCTGGTTACTACCATGATAAATATTTCCACAGAATGTGGGTGTGGTCACTCTTAGCTTCATTTCTCACCATAGACCTTACTGGCATGGGTGTCACTACCAGGAGCTTGTGCTCCAGCCTGCATTGCCCTATGGATATGTAAAATTACTGGGCTCTCCCACCACGACCAGCTGGTGACCACGGGAGAATTATTATTATTATCATCATCATCATCATCAAACCATCTCAATCATATGTATAGATTGAGTGTGTTGTTTAGTTGTTGTGCATTGTTATAATGGTAGCAAAAGTTAACATATAACTCCAACAGGCACACCGGGTGGTATAATAAAATAAAATTCTACTTACATAAGCCTGTAACCGATGTGAAACGGCAAAAAATTCTAACGCACAAACGTTTTCTGAACACCTTCCATGTTCTCTCTCAGGTATTCAGACTGGATTTTCCAGTCTTGCAGCATACAAAGGGAGTGC